CTCTCATTGTACTTCAAAATGAGCATCACATCTGGGTCCAGCCAGTCTTGTCTTATAGCTGCTTTCGGTTCTCTGTCTTTCCTTTGTTTGCCAGAGGTGTGGACCCGATGTTCTTCCTGACATCTGTAGGACTCTCTCTCCTCCATTAACATTAAATCACAGACTCCCTGCGGTTTTTATTTTTTTAAACATCCTATTTGGAAATATTTTAAATTTACTAAAACGAATAAAAGTAGTATAGTTACTTTCAGCCCAGAATTTGGGAGTAAGTGAAGTATCATGGTGTTAACTCCACTAAATTTTTCAGGGTATGTTTCTTTTCTGTTTTTTTTAGTGTTTATTTTTGAGACAGTGCAAGCGGGGGAGGGGCCGAGGGAGAGGGAGACAGAATCAGAAACAGGCTTCAGGCTGAGCTGTCAGCACAGAGCCTGTCGAGGGGCTCAAACTCACGAACCGTGAGATCGTGATCTGAGCCAAAGTCAGACACTTAACTGACTGAGCCACCCAGGCGCCTCCTCTCAGGGTATGTTTCCTAAGAATAGGGCTATGCCCTCACATCAACTTCAGAAGATGTAATGTTGATACAGTAATCTACCGTTTGTATTCCAGTTGACCTAATCATGTCCTTCATAGCATTTTCGCCCTTCAAGTGCAGGATCTGTTTTAAGATCAGATCTGCATGAAATTGTTGTGTTTCCTCTATCTCCTTTATTCTGGAACAAATCTGTAACCTTTTTAGTCCTTTAGAACATTCTTTTTTAAGAATATAGTCCCTTTTTGTTGGTTTTACCAGAAAGTTTCTCACCTGGGGTGTAGGTGATGTTTCCTTGTGATTAGTAGATTCAGGTTGTGCGCTCAAGTCTAGAATATCATGTAAGTAATGTCATGTTCTAAGGGTATGACATCTGGATGCATGTGATTTCCATCTGTCCCCCATTGTGATGGTAATTTTGATCACCCAGTTAATGTGTTTTCTGATATTTCCACTGTACAGTTAATTATTCTCCCCACCCTCAACTACTAAGTAATCTGTGGGCAGATACTTGAAGACCATGCACGTATCCTACTCCTCATCAGTATTTCCTCTCAGATTGAGCATCCAGTGATGGTCCTGTCTGAACCATTCTTTACTGTGATGGCTGCAGATTGATCACTTTTTTCCAATTCCAGTATTTCTTCCAGTAACAGCTGGGACTAGGCATTCTTTTATATTCTCAGTATGGATTGATGAATTCCTATTTTTTTCAGTGGCTTATAATCAGTCATTGCTCTCTTAATTCGTATGCTGCATTTGTCTCAGATTTTGCCCGTGGGTTTCCCTTCAAGCCGGCTCCTGTTTTCTTGTGCCATGCCTCCATCCTTTAAATTTTTTTTTTTTTACTTTTGTTGCAGTTCTTTTCTCTCTGGCAAAACAGTGTTATCTTCTCTTGTACTTCTGTCCCATTCCTGGAATCGGCCTTTTCTCTTAGGAGCCTGGTTTCTCATACTAGGGTATGATATTAAAGACCAAGGTCCTGGTGCTAGTTGTGCTCAGTGCTTCTGTGCCCTTCCAGCAGGCCATGCGTTTTTTGATTCATTCTTGGCTTGAGTGAGAGATGGGCCAACTTGACCTTCCAAAGTTTCTTTCAGCCTTAAATATCTCTTTTTAGAGGGCAAACAGAATTGGTATTTTCCGAAAGGGTTAAGAATGGGAACACTTAAAATCTGTTGCGTGCTGAGTGAGTTCGTGCTTTACGGACCTGCAGTCTTGGGTACATATTGTTAGCTGAGGAACTCGTTCCTCTGCCATAGTCAGAACTTGGTCTTGAAGCTCTTTGTAGAAATCAGAAATTGGGGGAGGCAAGGTGACAGCTTTTTTTGTGGCGCTTAGGTCTTCATAATATGCCATTGCCCTGGCGTGGCTGGGGATGGAGAGGAGGCAAGGTGGAGCAAGCACATACTTTTAACGGAAGAGGTGGCCTCACAGAACACCAGTAGACCATTAATCTTTCTAGACCAGGGAATAAAGACCCTTAGTTTTAAGTCTTAAAATGTCTCAATGGTCTCCAAGGAAATTGGGCATTTTTAATAGAGATAACTCTGTGAAAACAATGTTTAAATATCAAGGCAATATTTTATTTTAGACATTTACAATATTTAAATATTTTACCAATATTTTGTCTTGGACATTTTTGCTTCACATTGTCAGTCTTTCACTCTATGTGTATGCTTGATCATAATTCAGGTTTTCCTCTGGATCTCTTACGCTGTGAAAGCCTTCTTGGTTTGGACCCTGCAACTTGTAGCAGAGTTCTGAACAAAAATTACACACTACTCGTCTCCATGGCTCCTCTCACCAACGAAATCCGGCCTGTGAGCAGCTGCACCCCTCAGGTAAAGAGCCACCTGGAGTGTCACTAGCCGTGGCATTTCAGACTTGCTCATGGTGACTTGAAGAAGAGGCTTTCTGGTTTGATTGTGTTATCTCAATTTGCTGATACCAAATATGAAGATCAGGGATCAGTAAGCAGCTTTGTATTTTATGCTGTTGTAAGAAGTTCAGTTCGTTGGGTAGAGTTGGTGCATTTTATTCATGTATCATCTTGTGATTGGTGCCACATTGAAGTTTTCTTGATGAATGCAGTATTTTAAAGAGAATGTTTTGGATGCTCTAGGAAGGAAGCCTGGATCCCTAATTGACTTGAGGGATCAAGTCAATTAGGAAAAATGAGATGTTTTAGAAGTGGGGCTATGATGGTAAATAAACGGGAACGATTGCGCTTGAAAGCTAGAACTTTAGTTGTCTCTAAAACTGACTTGTGAAAATTACTGCTGCTCTTTTACTTTTTCAGTGTAATGAGTTGTGTATTTGTGTACTTTGCAAGGATGCCATTTCAAAGAGGGGGGATCACATAGCTGTTCTTCAGGGCTGCATCCTGCCTGGTTTCCTAGATATGCAAGGTTAATGGTGTAGAAGAAAGGAAGGGATCCTTGAATAAGGTTGATTTCGTTGCTGTGCTGTTCTAGCTGCCCTCGTGAGCACACCTCCCTCACCTCCAAATTCGTCCTCTGTTCGGTAGGAGTGGTTACAGATTTTACATTGACCAACTTTTTTTTTTTTTTTTTTTTTTTTTTTTTTTTTTCATAATTCTTTGTGTGTCCCCCCAACCCTATCCCGTATACACATTTCCTCCTGTTCTGTAACACGATTTCTAGGCACAGTAGGAATCCATGAACTGAAGGAATGGTAAGATGGATGGAAGGTTAGATAGTCCCTTTGTGAGGAATTGCATGTGACTAATGACAATGACTGACTTTGAAATAGACCTTATTATTTGACAGGCACTGTTTTAAACCCTTTTGAGCAAGCGTACGATGTCTTTACAGGGTAGATAATTTGTCACCACATTACAGAAAAGCAAAGAAGTAACCTTCTTAAGGTGATACAGCCGAGGGGGTGAGGCCAAGATTCAGACCTTGGTGTTTTCCTCCAGGGTCCATCTCCCAATTACGGTGATAAGACGTGCTTTCTCAATTCTGGAATAACATGGAAACCGCTTGGATGGAGCATTTAAAATTTATTTTCATAAGAATAATAGCAGTGAGCATTTATGTGAGGCATTAGCTGTTTGTAAGGCCATCCTTGGTCCCTTGTGAAATTTGGCTGCTTTTGAGAAGTATTACAACGTTATCTTACTCGTTTCACGATTACAGCACATTGGACCAGCTATCCCAGAAGTCAGTTCTGTCTGGTTTAAACTATACATTTATTACATCACCGGGCAAGGACCACCATCTCTTTTACTGTCCAAAGGTACAAGACTTCGAAAACTGCCAGATATATTCCAGGTATGTTGTGTGAGGTTTGTTTCTTTAGTTGTTTTTGAGGAGGGTAGAGATTGGTAAGCAGCATTATAGCATTGGATATAAACTGAGATCTTCTTAGTTTTTGTTTGTTTTTTAAAATTTCTAAATGCCATTTTATCTTCATTCGTTTCTTTTCCGTAGGGTTATGATCGATTACTAATAACATCTTGGGGTCATGACCCTGGGGTAGTCCCTACGTCCAACGTGCTCACGATGCTGAATGATGCTTTAACACATTCGGCAGTTTTGATTCAGGTACAGTTGCTTTGTTTGAAACAACCAGTTTTGGATTTTTATTTTTAAAGATTCTAATTTGTTAAGTCACAGATGTCGGTGATTTGAAATTTGTAAAGCTGAAACATAAGAGATGAGATACGGATTTTTGCCCTGGCCTTTGTCTGGCAGTGTGGGAATCCCAGAAACAACATGGATTTTGTAGTGAGACCCAGACTTGAATTCCAGCTTCACATTTGCTACCTGTGTGGCCGTAATTGTTTGATACACGTAATCGCTCTATCGAGGTATAATTCACGTAGCATACAGTTCACCAATTTAAATTGCACACTAAAGTGTTTTTTAGTGTAGTTGCAGGTATCCACAGCCATCATCAAGCTCAATTTTAGAACATTTTCATTACCTCAAAAAGAACTCCCGAACCTTTAGTTCTCAGTCCCCTAGTCCCCAGCCCCAAACAACACTAATCTACTCGCTCTTTCTCTAGAATGCTTCTTCTGGGCATTTCACACACACAAAGTCACGTAACGTGTGGTCTTTTGTCACCGGTGTCTTTTACTTGGCAGAATGTTTTTGAGCTTCATCATGTCGTAGCGTGTTATCAGTCCGTCATGAATCATTACTGCATTCCTTTTTATAGCCAAATAAGAAGTCCCTTGTACGAATATACCACGATCTGTTTTTCCCATTCATTGTTGATGGACACTTGGGTTGTTTCCACCTTTTGGGTATTAAGAATCATAGTAATCACTGTTGTAACTGTTCATTTATAGGTTTTTGTGTGGCCGTATTGTCATTTCTCTTAGGTATGTGGTTAAGAGTGGAAATGCTGGATCATATGGCGATTCTGTGTGTAACTGTTTAAGGAACTTCCAGGCTGTTTTCCAGAGTGGCTGCACCACTTTCCATTCCCACCAGCACTTGGTATTATCTGACTTTTTAAGTTAGAACCCACCTGGTGGGTGTGAATGGTATCTCATAGTGTTTTTGATTTGTGTTGTCTTGATGCCTGGTGATGGGGCCCTCTTTTCACATGCTAATGAGCTGTGTAACATTTTGAAGATACTTCTGTTAGTTTCCCACCCATGAAACGGAGATGGTGACATTTACTGTATAGCAACAAAAAATAATGTAGCAGCTAATGGTGAGATAAGCAATTTATAGTCCTAGGATTGTTGAGAGAATGAAATAAGAATGTGCTGAAGTGTGCGGCACACTTTCTGTTTCATAATAGGTTCTCGATAAAGATTTCATTGGTTTATTCAACTATCAATCGTTATGTGCCATATTCTGTGCTAATTAACGTGGATACACAAATAAGTCACGGTCCCTGTGTTCAAGGGATTTAAGTCTGGTGGGAAAAGTTGCATAAGCAGCCAGTTTCAGTTTTTTGCTGAGTGCTGAATAGAATTATCTACGCTGCAAGCATTAGAGAGAAGTACCTAGTTCAGCCTTGAGGCAAGGAGAAAGGCTGAGGGGACACTCAGAGAAAATGAGACTCAGGCTGCATACAGAAGGATGATACAGAAGAGAGCCAGGTCAGGCACAGGGGTTAGCATGAATAAACCTGTGGGCAGAGATGTTTTTCTTTTCTTCCACTGCTATTTCCCTAGTGCCTAGAACAGCACCTGGCTCAGAGTAGCTACTTATGAGTGTTTTGATGTAGGCAGGCCCTGGAGAGTAGTGTGCCTTGACCCTTTTGCTACTGAGCTTTGACTGTACCCTATAGATTGATGAAAGAGAGCAAAGGGTGCTGAGCAGGGGATTTATGTGGTCAGTGTGTCTTGGGAAGATCAGCTTGGAGAGTATGCTGAGAAGGGTTGGGTAAGGTAAGATACTTGAAGCAAGAGGACCAATTAGCATTTGGTGTAGGAGTCCTGATAAGAGGGGAAGTCAGCCTAGATTAGAAGAATAAGTACTGAAAGGAGAAATTGGATTCAATAATTCTTACAAATTAAAATTAATAGAATTGATCAGATGTCTGAGAAGGCTAGGAGAAGAGGAAGGGGTAGGATTCCTGGGGGATTGGCTTGTGAAGGTGGAAGAATGGTGACATCCCTGCTTGAGCAAACAGAGGAGGAAGAGCCGGTTGATGGGGGTCAGATGATGTGTGTTGTGTTTGGGGCAGGCTGAGTCTAAGGTGCCTGTGGGACATTTGGGTGGTAGGGCTATCTAGTCGGTAATGAAGACATTTTGAAATCCAGACGAGAGTTGAACAGGAAGCATTGACTTGAGTGTCCGCATCAGCACGTGGAGGTAGTTGAAAGCATGAAGAACAGGATGCGTTCGCCAGCAGGGGGGACACCTAGCAGGGGTAGTGGTGGCAGATGACCTCATAGGATGGGTGAGACGTGGGCTCGAGTCAGTCTGCCTAAGTTAAAATCTTGATTCCACCATTTATTAGGAATCTTGGGCAAATTAAATAACCTTGAATTCCTTCACCTGCAAACTAAAGATAATGGTTCCTAAGGTCGTTGAAATGAATGAGCGAATTGCACCATCTACATAAAATGCCTGTACCTGTGCCCAGCACACGGGACGGTCCCAGAAGGCGTTAGCCGTGTGGCGGTAGTGGTAGCAGATGTGGCCCAGTTTTAACGTGTTTATGAGGAGTTTTGTTTTTGCTAAAAAAGAATGCCTCTTTTATTTTAAGTTTTATGGGAGAAATTCATTTTGCTGGAACTTAAAACACAATTTTGATTAAAGCCACGCTTTCATTGTAACAGCCTTGATTGGGGTATAAATCATAATGGTACCGATGAGGTAAAAGTGGGCTACCAGAAGAAATACATTCGGGTTGTTATACGCACCATTGAAACGAGTGCAGTTTTTCTCTGAAATAATTTTTTTCTTGTGTATCAGAGTACTTTGAATTTAAATAATGCAAAGGGTTTTTTCAATGGAAAAATGTATAGATCCCCAGTGTTAAATTTTCTCTTGTAGCGATACTAAATACACATAAACATAAAATTAAGGTCTTCATTCTTATTATTCTTAAACAGTTATAAAACCAAAATAAACCTGGGGATTTAAATTTCAAAAAAGAACCCTTTAAAACTAACAAAATTCAAATGAACATTAATTGAAAGTAATAGATAAAACTAAATTATTATTTGTAGCATGGGAATGGGGTGGTTAGACTCAGATTTTTTTAATTCAGTTTTTGAGTTGATAGAACCTTCTCATGATTCAGAAATAAAACACTGTTAAAAGATGCATGGAGGAAAGTATCACTACCCTTCCAACACTATCTTCCCAGTTCTCCCCATTTCTTTTCCTAATCAGATACATTTTTAGTTTCTGCTGTACTCTTCTAGAATTTCTTTATGCAGATGCAAGCCAACACACAGTGCTATATCCCCATGCTTTTTTCACTTAGCAACTGGAGACCTTTCCATTTCCGTTCATAGGGAGCTTCCTTTTTTTTTTTTTTTTTTTTTTTTTTTTTTTTTTTTTTTTTTTTTTTTTTTTTTTTTTTTTTTTTTTTCTGGTAGTTGCATTGAAAATACATACGTTGATTCTTTTAACCCCAGTTGGGGGCATTCATAATCATATAATTTTGAATATGTCACTGAGTACAGGTGTTTGAGTTTTGCATTCCTAGTTCATGATATGCCAGGTGACTGATGATGGGATTCCTTCACCACTTTTCCTCTCTCGGACCTGCAGCTAACCCTTGTATGAGTGTGCCTGATTTCAGTCTTCAGTTGTCTCACACGTGATGTACCTGTTCAGTCGGCCTCTCTTTATCGTTAGCTGTACACTCATTTAGAGACACATTGTCCTATAAGTTAATACACACTTAAGGTCTTTGCTTGCTGAGAAAAATTAAAAATTGTTGAAAGATTTTTGATGGTATGTTAGTGTAGAATATGCCATCACATGGCACAGTCTTATTTATTGTTTGACTATCTGTTACTGGAAATACAGATTTCTTGTATAACTTTCAACTGTGTTTCTTCATGTTTAGGGACATGGTTTGCATGGGATAGGAGAAACTGTCCACATACCTTTTCCATTTGATGAAACAGAACTACAAGGAGGTATCTTGCTTTTAAATTATATCTGAGTTCTTTATCATTAATCTTTGTCAACAGTTTGGTAGAAAACATAGCAGGAAGTGAATTCTTAAAACTTTGAGTTCAAGGGTCTTTAAAAAAAATTTTTTTTTAATGTTTATTAATTTTTGAGAGAGAGAGAGAGAAAGCTCAGGCCCATAAGTTGGGGAGGGGCAGAGAGAGAGGGAGACACAGAATCGAAAGGTCTCAGGCTCTGAGTTGTCAGCACAGGGCCTGACGGTGGGGCTCGAACCCATGAACCGTGAGATCATGACCTGAACCGAAGTCAGACACTCAACTTACTGGGCCACCTAGACGCCCTAGTTCTAGGATCTTATCATTGCCACTTTTAAAGAGTATTGGCAAAGGTAGTTTTCTTTCTTTCTTTCTTTTTATTATAATTTATTGGCAAATTGGCTAACATACAATGTATAAAGTGTGTTCTTGGTTTTTGGGGTAGATTCCTGTGGTTTATCGCTTACATACAACACCCAGTGCTCATCCCAACAGCAAAGGTAGTTTTCTGTCATGTGCCTTTTCCCATGAAGAACTAGTAGAATAAGACTTATTTAGGATCTTTGAAGGAATACTAGTTTGCCTTGGAGATGAAGAGAATCAGTAGGTCTCTGTTTAGGTGAAAGACTAGATTTTCCTCTCTGTTTAGCCTTTTACTTTTCTTTTATTGTTTATTTGGAGGCTGGGGGAGAAGAATTCACAGGGAATTTTTTTACCTTAGAAAGCCAATTTTTTCTTTCCCAGTGTTACATACTATTTGCCTCCTTCTTCCAAGCCAGGAGCTTTTTTAGGTGATTTAGAAATACATGCCATTGAATATGGGTATAATACTTTACGGTTTACAGAGTACCTGCATGTATTTCCTCTTTCAGCATTTGATTTTGTTGTTAAATGTTACTTTTTGCAATTAGGATTTGAGTGGATTATAGAGTTTGAACTAAATAAAGCTAGTTAGAATCAAGGGCAGGGGGAAAACCCGTTTAAAGTGTTCTCTTTCGGGGCACCTGGGTGGCGCAGTCGGTTAAGCGTCCGACTTCAACCAGGTCACGATCTCACGGTCCGTGAGTTCGAGCCCCGCGTCGGGCTCTGGGCTGATGGCTCAGAGCCTGGAGCCTGTTTCCGATTCTGTGTCTCCCTCTCTCTCTGCCCCTCGCCCGTTCATGCTCTGTCTCTCTCTGTCCCAAAAATAAATAAACGTTGAAAAAAAAATTAAAAATAAATAAATAAATAAATAAAGTGTTCTCTTTCTAGAATTGGATGTGAATTAAGTACATTTGGTATAAGATGTTCAGAGAATATCTGTTAAAAGCAAATTTATTCTTCCTTTTGTTTAATATAGGAGATGACCCTTTCTCTGTCAAATATTAGGAAGGTATATATGTTCAAAAGAAAAACAATACGATTAAAACTTAACATATATCTATATAGCACTACTCCATGTAAATTGCTGTTGTATAATCTTATTTTTCTGGTTCTTAGAGCCATCTTGCTTGAATTTTTAGAGAGCAGTGAATGGTTCAAGTAATCTAATTTTTGTTAGTTTATATAAGAACTTAATGTTCTCCCAAAATAATAGAGTGGGGAAAAGGAAGATTTTTAAAATATCTTTTTCCTTTTCACATAGCCAGACTGCGGAAGCCTCATGTTTGAAATTAAGTTCTCTCTCTTGCCTGTTGTGAATAAATGTGTACAAAGTTTAGAGAAGAGTTTTCTCTTCCAAAAAATAGCCCCTTTTCAATAAGTACTTCTCTGCAATTAAACTTTGCTATTTAATCCTCTGATCCTTTATAAATTCTGTGGAGGGGCGCCTAGGTGGTTCAGTCGATTAAGCATCCGACCTAGGCTCAGGTCATGATCTCATGGTTCGTGAGTTCGAGCCCCACATCAGGCTGCACTGAGAGTGCAAAGCCTGCTTCCGACCCTCTGTCTCCCTCTCTCTCTCTGCTCCTCCCTTGTTTGCACACACTCCCATTCTCTCTCTCTCTCTCTCTCTCTCTGTCTCTCTCTCTAAAAATAAACATTTTACAAAAATAAATTCTGTGGAAAAATATTAGTTCACCTGAAGATACAGGCTAGTGACAACAGGATCTTAAAATTTATACAAAATCTCAAAAACTGATTAATAGCTCTCTTGCCTTGAGAGATTGTGTGAATTATAAAAGAATCTTCATATCTGAGTATAGAGCATATTTCTGTTATAAAAGTTCATGTATTTATAAAACTTGCACTGGTATTTGAATAATTTATTAAGGATATAATTTCAAGTCCTTTTTGGCTTTTGTCTAAATAGGAATAATTTTACTTTAAAAAGGTTTTCAAAAATATAATGTGTATTTAATACATTTAAAAAATGTAATGTGTATGTAGTACATAGAAGCCCAACAAGGAAGCATTTGAGGCAGAATAGAACCACGAAGAGAAGTCTAGAGAATTTGCCACTGACCAGCCC